TTCAGCAGTGGGCTGGTAGAGCTAGGTTAGTAGAGTTAAGTTAAAGGTTGAATTGGATGATCTTACAGGTCTTTTCCAACCTGAACCATTCTATGATTCTATGAATCTATGACCCTGCAGGAGTGCTAGCTGCCAGGCAATAAGACCAGCACATCTTTCATCTAAGGTGGACCCTGTATGGCAGCACTGAGCAGCCCTGCAATCACTTCAGGCACACACAGTCCTATTCTGTTTCCTTTCAGCCATGAGCAAGGTGATCCACTCACTACAGTTATTTCAGAAAGTCAGTATCCAGTTCTGTGCACTGCTGGAGATAATAATCTGTTTTGGATGATGTGCCTGTTTGTCATCTACCCTGCCCCAGCTATGAGCAAAGGCCACCTCTTTCTTCTAATGACTGAGCTGTCTGACAAACACTTGGCTGTCCCCAGCCTGGCTCTGCAAAATAATTTGATCATTCTCAATTACTAGTAGATGGTGCAATAGGTGGCCATGGATACAACTGGATAAGGCAGTGAATTTTGTCTACATACTGCTTCTCATCCTTTCCTCTTTGGAGAGGTGTTGCTCTTTGCTTTATTAATCGTAGGAGTGTTTTTAAATTTTTCCTAACTGGCTTATTTTACAGAACTGGATTTAGCAGAGGAGCAAAAAGGCAGAACAACAGGGATGGAAGTGGGGGAATGGGAGAGGGGTAAAGAGGAGGTGATAAGCAACTGGGGTGTGTAATGTCTCTTCTGACTTCACCAGCAGCTGGAATAGTTTCCAAATCACAGGCTTCACATGGACTTTTTGTACTCTTGCAAAATATAGGGATTGCTCTCCTCTGAAGGAAAATGTCTGCTTTTCTGCCTTTACTGCCATCCTGAAATACCTCCACTGCCTCATACAGGAGGTTAGTTTATTTCTGTTTTGAGTTGGAGCTATAACATTGTGTAGCCTGCAGACAACTTATTGCTTTGTTGGTGCTGCCAAATGTCTGCCAGCCATTTTCCACCTAGTGCAGTGTGACCCTGTCACCACATGACTGAAAGAGGTAGCATGTATTACTTGTCATTTTAAGTTATTTTCTCACTACTACCACCCAGGGAAATCAGCAGATCTACAGTATGGGTCTTTAAATGTCTTGACTTTTTCTTCAAATTCACCTTTTTAAGTAGTCTGTGACAATCCTCCCACAAAATTACTCAATATTCAGTCCTATTCCTTCCACTTATAAAGAAAGTAAGAAATTCACTTATTTCCTCCAAATTAAACAGTTTAGAGATTCTATACCATTAACCTGCATATACTCACCTGCAGAGTCAGAAA